TATGTTTTCAAGATAATATATGTACATGCAAGGGCACGGGTACTCATGAATATTTGGGGGGAAGCAGCAGGAGGTTGAGAGAATTCCTGCCTACTGGGCACTAACTTCTCATGGAAGTCAGAGTCTGGGAGGATGACTGTAAAAAGCAAGGGGACATGGTGGACACAGAGAGTGGAGAAGAGTCAAAAATCACTGCCAGGAGGAAATGGAAGAATACCAACTCGAGAACAGAAGAAGGAAAACCAGGACATGCTCTGTCATGAAAATCAAGTGAAGAAAAGTTTCTAAAATGGTGGGGTCTCGACAGGCAGTGTAAAGGGTCCAGAGAAAAAAATCCCTTCCATTGGGGTGAGTTTCTCCAGCACTTTCAGACAAAGACTTGCAGGAATGGAGAAGGTGAATGATCGGATGGATCAGGGATGAGCTTCCCAAGATTGTACGTCTCTTTATGGTCTTCTTCTTACTTTCTGTTTCAATACTTAGCTACTAACTGTACTAAAAGCAAAGAGTCTTGGGGCCGGCCCTGTGGCTTAGCAGTTAAGTGCGCACACTCCGCTGCTGGTGGCCTGGGTTTGGATCCCGGGTGCACACCAACGCGCCGCTTGTCGGGCCATGCTGAGGCGGCGTCCCACATGCAGCAACTAGAAGGATGTGCAGCTATGACATACAACTACCTACTGGGGCTTTGGGGAAAAAAAGGGAAAAAAAGGAGGAGGATTGGCAATGGATGTTGGCTCAGGGCCGGTCTTCCTCAGCAAAAAGAGGAGTATTGGCATGGATGTTAGCTCAGTGCTGATCTTCCTCACAAAAAAAATAAATAAAATAAAAGCAAAGAGTCTGAAGCATCCTATGGCATAGTGCTGGATGCACTGAAGGACACCGGGAGAGGCTGAGGTGACACGAGCAAGCCAAGGAAGATGGAGGGGATAAAATATTTAACGCAACTTGTTTGTCTGTATAATAAAGAGAATCATAATGAAATGGGGTCCTCATAAAAAAGACCTGGAAAATTAGTAAAGTATAATGGTGTTGAAAACTAGCCTTAAAATTATTCTTTCTTATCCATTTTAGCAAATAACCCATATTAGTGTATTTTACCAGTTTCATTGAGATACAACTGACATGCATAATCCATTTTTAATACATATAGAATACATATAGCCTAACTTAATATATAAAAATGGGCTATTAAGTAAGTTCAGTCTCCAATCTCCTGAAATGCAATGATCTCTCAGGCAAGCTGTAGAATTTCGCACCTAGAGATGCTGGTGCTGCCCCAACACTGGCACCATCCACTCAGCAGGTCTGTCGGCTGATGCGCGAGCCCAGGTCCTCGCCTCCCTCCATGCTGCTTTCCTACCAGCTCAGAACCTGCTGTCTCCGTGTGACGCTCCTCATGGCTGCCATGCAGCAGCCCTCTGTGGCCAATACAAACTTTAAAGTGCAGTGCCTGTACATAGTAATGCCACAAGACTGATCTCCCAGAAATGCAGGCGGGGCTACAAAGGTCTCTAAAGATTCCCTCTAGTCAGGCCTACTCTTGACCCAGCTCTTCTGTTCCCCTCGATCAGAACTCAGCTCCTAAACTTGCAGACCTTGGCTACTTGGGTCTTCAGTGATTCCATGCCTGATCCCCCCTGGACTGACAACCTAGATTCATTTATTCATTCAACCAATGTTTCCTAAGCACCTCTGTTTGCTAGGGACTCTTCTAAGATACAGCAAAGGAGGAAAAAACCCCAAATATCCAAGACCTCCCCGGACCCTTGCTATAATGGATCTTCTCTTCTAGTGGGCCTTGGATTCTGCACTGACCTCCTCACAGTATTTTCAATTTGTGCTCTGCCTTTTGACTGATTTTTCAGTCTTAGAATGGTTTTCTGTTATGTCTATCCATGAACAGAAATTTCCTGCAAGTGTTCCTATGTTTTGACCACCTGACCTTTCAGATCTGCCTGGACTCCAAATCCTGGCTTCCTCTGGAAAGTTCTAACCAGGTATACGTGTGTCATGGTTAATGGACACCGAGGATCCTAGACAATTAGGGCTGGAGGGGATTGTGTAATCTATCACCCTCACCCTAAACAGAAGCAACAGACACTGAGAGAGCCCAAGTGCCGTCTCCCAGGGCACCTGGCGAGTGAGGGACAGAGCTCAGGCTGAGCCCAAGGTCTTCTGACACCAGAGTCCGAACTCAGGATCCGGCTGGTTAGGGTCACCTTAACAAGTGGCACTGACTCCTGATTCCCCACCCCAGTCATTAATATTTCTTGGGATTTTTTTTTTTTTTTTTTTTTACAAATGAGTGTCATTGGCTCATATGGATCACTGTTGAGATGCTTTAAATCATAGGCAAACTCACTAATTTGCAAGTTAGCGTTTGATATTTTAAAAGTTAACACTTACAAGTTTAAATTTCAGCTCCACTGTGCCCACACCGCGTCCCTCCCTGATGCTTGTACAGCACTCCAGACGTGAAGGAGGCTGGTCTCACACAGGGGTCTCACATGTCTTACCCACTGTGACCCAAGCTTTCCCCTTTTACCATAGCCTCGGCTTCTCCCCAAATCCTGTGGTAAGGATCAGTCTTCAAAAATGCACCCAGGTTCTGAATAACGTAGATTTTCATGAACTCCAAATAGGCAAAAAAAGGCGATTTATATTTTAAAGAAATTTGCTAGTTCAACATTCTGTGGGCCCATGCAAAGATGGCTTCTATACACTAAACAAGTAGATTAAAAGCAAATTCCTGGGCCGGCCCAGTGGCTTAGTGGTTAAATGCGTGCGCTCCACTACCTGCGGCCCAGGTTCGGATCCCGGGTGCGCACCGATGCACCGCTTCTCCGGCCATGCTGAGGCCAAGTCCCACATGCAGCAACTGGAAGGATGTGCACCTATGACACAACTATACTGGGGCTTTGGGGAAAAAAAGGAGGACGATTGGCAATAGACGTCAGCTCAGAGCCCGTCTTCCTCAGCAAAAAAAAGAGGAAGATTAGCACGGATGTTAGCTCAGGGCTGATCTTCCTCACACACACACACAAAAAGCAAATTCCTTTGTTACTAAGTCAATTTTTCTCACTTTCCTTTTAGCATTCATCTGTGTCCTTCTTGACATTACGTTGAATGTTCAGAGCAAAGTATCAGCCCTGCTGTGCCATTAGAAAGCTCTTCCCCTGCCCCGGGTCGGGCAGCATTCAGGACACGAGTCATCTCATCCAGCTGGGATGTATAGGAAGAGTGGCTCTTCTGTATTTCACTAGGGTATAACTTACAACCTTGAACTGAGCTGGTTCTGTACTCAGTCAACCCGTTTCATTGTCTGAGCCCGTGCTGTCCACTACTGCTGGCTTATAAACTCACTTGAAGTCAATGTTTCATATTTATACCCCTCTCCCCCAGGGCACCTGGTGTGTGTTTTCTATCAAAAGGCACCTGGGGCCAGCCCGGTGGCACAGCAGTTAAGTGTGTGCGCTACACTTCGGTGGCCCGGGGTTCACAGGTTTGGATCCTGGGCGTGCACGGACGCACCGCTTGTCAAAGCCATGCTGTGGCAGCATCCCATATAAAGCGGAGGAAGATGGGCACGGATGTTAGCTCAGGGCCAATGTTCCTCGGCAAAAAGAGGAGGATTGGCATCGGATGTTAGCTCAGGGCTGATCTTCCTCACCAGAAAAAAAAAAAAAAGGTGCTTAATGCTTATTTGTAAAATAAAGTGAATAACATTGATAAGCTGTGTGAAGGCTGGAGAATTCAAGAGTGGCCAACTCAGGAGGAACACTCTCTCTTCAGCACACACAGTCTCTCAGCTCTCTGGAACCTCTGTGGCTCAGTGCAAGACAGGAGTGCAAGGAGGATGCTCAGGGTACAGAAAAGCAGTGGGGTGCATCCATCTTGAGAGCGTGTGCCTAGTTTTGACTCTAGCCACTTGCTAGTTATGTGACTTGAGCAAGTTTCCCAACCTCCTAGTTTCCCCCTCAATACAGTGGATGGGATAAAGTAGTACCTACCTGATTGGCTTGTTGTGGGCCCGCAGGCCTCCTTGCTGTCCCTCTCCCTGGAGGCCTCTCCCCAGACAGCTGAATGGTTAGCTCCCTCACTTCATTTGGCCTCAATGGAAATCCCATCTTAGCAGTGAGGTCCTGGCCTTACTGATAACAGAGCTTCTTTTTTCTTCACAGCACTTATAACCACCCCACATGTTACATGTTTATTTGATTATATATTATCCTGCCTCACCTCTCCAAAATGGAACCTCCCTTACAGAAGGGACTTTGTTTAGTTCTCTGACTTCCCTTCTGCACTTAGAATGGAGCCTGGCATGTAGAAACTGCTTAATAAATATTCTTTGAACGGGTGAACTGGAAGGTTCGATGAGTTAATTTATATCAAATGCCTTGGTATTCACGTTCAATACATGTTAGTCATTATGTTAACTATTATTACTCCTCAGCACACGTGGGGATTCTTTCAGATGCCCAAGATGCAGACCTGGAGACTAATGTGGTGCTCATCCTAGCGATGGTGGTCATCTTACTTTAGGGAGAAATGCCTTGATCATCAGGTACATGCTGCGGACGTTGAGACTCATTGAGAAGTCCCAGTCTTTCTCCTCACAGTCCAGGATGGTGCCATGATGGACAAACCTGGAAGAGTGAGTAAACGATGGGGAAAATGATCATTCGAAGAGACTTCTATTCCATTTTCTTACTATTTTTATTGTCATTTATTGACTTAGACCACTGTCCCTTCCCTAACAAGACTTTTAACAATTCAAACATAGTATCACTTGGTACATTAGGTAAGTAAGTGTCTCAACAACTTAAGCTAAAAAAATTTGTTATTTGAAAACAGGATCCTTCTTTTAAAAGAATAAGGCAAGAGTTTGGAGCCACCAAACATAAGCAGCTCTATACCAAAAGCACAGGAAACATCAACGCCATTGAAAACAAACATGAGGACACCTGCCCTATTTGACGCCTATGTCAAGAGCTACAGCGCTCTCAGGTGGCACAGATTTAGCATTCTCGAGGGAAATCAAAGTTGCAGGGAAAACAAGTATCTCATCTTCTCAGGGCAGCAAAGTAATGTTGCTACTGTACAGTTCTGGCAGATTGAGTAAACAAAGCAGAACAAACAAAACTCGTAACATAGCCTCCAGCTTTTCCAAGTCACATTTCCTCAAGGAAGCCTTCTAAACAATGGAGTCCTAATTGATTCCACTGTCTCCTGGACCAAAATTATGTAATTACTTATAAAATATTGCTGGTTGTGATTCCTATGTACCACTGTACCTCCAGTTTAATCAAATGACAGCAAGAACCACATGCTATATTTCTATCTCTCTTACTTTGCTGAAAATTTAATAGATGCTCAAAAACTAATTTTGCTAGTTGATTTTTTCATGGCTCTGGGTATATTCTCATATGAGAGATGAGCAGGTTATTTATAAAATAGATCATTACAAATTGTTGCTTTGCTTTAATTTCCATATATTGTAACAATGATAAACTATGGATAGACTGAGATGTTTTTCATCCTGAAACATGGTTAGGAAGAATCATAAAAATATATTAGGGGGCTGGCCCAGTGGCGCAAGCAGTTAAATGCGCGTGCTCTGCTGCGGCGGCCCAGGGTTTGCAGGTTCGGATCCTGGGCACGCACCGCTTGTCAAGCCATGCTGTGGCAGCGTCCCATATAAAGTGGAGGAAGATGGGCATGGATGTTAGCCCAGGGCCAGTCTTCCTCAAGAAAAAAGGGGGAGAATTGGCATCAGAGGGTAGCTCAGGGCTAGTCCTCCTCACAAAAAAAAAAAAAAAAATTAGAAGGCCCTAGGAGTTTTCTATCAATGCCGCAGTATGAATGTAACACCACGTAACAAAAGTGGAATGTCAGACTGTGTCTACTTAGTCTTGTGAGAGCCTCACCTGTCCTGTCTCCACTGTCACACCTAAGAAGGGAGTGAGCACTAGCACTCGCTGTCCCTGCAAGCCGCTCCAGATCCAGCCTCTCGGCCTCCCTGCGTAAATCAGCAAGTTGGGTACTGCCCTATTAAGTTCAATTAAGCCATTCTCTTTGTGCTGTATACAAAGGGACAGAATGAAACTTCTTCGGCTGGGAGTAATTGTCCCAATAAGAAACGCAGTGCTTAGGAGGTGTAAAGGATTGCCAGATGCTGGGCCAAAAAATTTGGAACATTTGCATTTCAATAAACTGAGTACTTGGCTTCTGGTAGATATACTTTGCTTTAAAGACACTCCTGGAAAACAGCTTTGCATTTTATTTTATAAGTCCTAGTGGAACATCAGTGACAAGTGCACTGGTGTGAGCCTGTTCCCAGCCTCGGGACGATCCATAGCTTTGGACTGGTACCAGTTGTCTTGAGGATCCTTAATTGCCTTTAGGCCCCAAGCCCATGTCAACTCCATGGCTATCTTACTTGCCGAATCTTACTTGTAATAAAAATTCTGTCCAAAATCCAGCAGTATTTCCTAAAGGATATATTGGGGTTCACAATGAATAATATGGCCATACTATCAAAATTCTTTTAGAAATCAACAAGTTATGAAAGAATGAAAAAGTTACGTTACCCAGCAACATTAAAGAGAATGTCAAGTCTCTCAATTTCACTGGCAAACTGATCAATTTGTTTCTTCTTTGTGACATCAAGGACTCGAGTTTGAATGCCTGAAAAACAAAACAAGGGACACTATTTACTTATACCCATAAAAAATGTTTAGCCTGAAGAGGTAGCTTCTGAAGTATGAAGAGTGCAGTGTCTGTTCATTTAGGCTTCACAGGATTGTTGACCACTCGTAGGGTCTTAAGAATCTCATTAATAAAAATCTTAAAGTCCTCCCCATCTTGACCTCCCAATAACACAACTCTCTCTCTCTTTCCCTTTCTCTCCACTCTCTAAATTGAATAATAAAGGTCTTGTCTGAGAAAGGACTTCACAGTGAAGCATGAATGATCTATGTTAGAAGCACCCCTGTGAGACAGCAGGAATAACTGAGAGCAGGCTCGCTGTAGCCCACTCCTCCCCAGAGGTGGAGGCCCTGCCACAGGAACCCTGGCTCCTGTCTGAGAGAGGTGTGGGTAAGGACATGGCAGTGGGACAGGAGACTGTTTCCATTTGTGTGCTTTACCTTCATGTCAATTGCATTATTTATCAGAAATGACTTTGTTGGTCAAGGGTATCATCACTTATTTCTGGACTAAATTGCAAGAACCAGAAATGAGGGGCCAGGAAAAGGGATGAAACACTTGAAGGCTAGACATGAGAGATCCTCCCTGGGGACTGAGAGACACAGTGTACCAGTTACTAAATAATCCCAAACATTCTTCAATGAAAGACACAGTCATTATTTTTATGTTTTTAAAAAATATATGGTTCATTTTATTATTGTCTCATAGATATAGAAAGAATAGATAACAAACAAAGAAAAGAGAGGTTTCAGAAAGACTTCCCTCCCTTAGTGCTTTTCCAGTACAACAGCTTTCCTCTGACTTGGAAAGTCACTGACTTGATACATAGCTCAATAATTTGGGTACTCTCTTAGGGTTTCTGATCATATGTGACTTTAGGGCTGAGCTGTCCCCAATATGGTAGCCACCAGTCACATGTGGCACTTGAAATGCAGCTAGTTGAAACTGAAACATGCTGTCAGTATACAATACACATGAATGTCAAAGATTTAATATGAAAAAAGAATGTAAAATATTCCATTAATAATTTTTTGGGCCGGCCCCGTGGCTTAGCGGTTAAGTGCGCGCACTCCGCTGCTGGCGGCCTGGGTTGGGATCCTGGGCGCGTACCTGACACACCGCTTCTCCGGCCATGCTGAGGCCGCGTCGCACATACAGCAACTAGAAGGATGTGCAGCTATGACATACAACTATCTACTGGGGCTTTGGGGGGAAAATAAATAAATAAATAAAATCTTTAAAAAATAATAATAATAATTTTTCATATTGAGTATGTTAAAATAATATTTTAGATATATTGAGTTAAATATGATATATTAGTAAAATTAACTTTCACCTGTTTCTTTTTACTTTTTAAACGTAGCCACTAGAAAATTTAAATCACACATGTGGCTCACATCGTTTTTCTACTGGACAGCACTGCGCTGAGGCTGAGAGGAGGGGCACAGCAGGGAGAGTTGTCATCATAAGTTATAATTTTGTAACTAGGTACTGAATCCTTCAACATGTTGGATAAATAAAAAAACTTTAAGTATACACCTTAAAATTTTGTTTATAAATTTAAGTATAAAGAGTTTTGTCTGTAGGTTCACAGAATATAGATTCGATATCAAAGAATCAGGCTCTAAAAAGAAGGCTGATAGAGCTTAGCAACAAAGGAATTTCCTTTCAGCATGTGAGCACTGTTTTTTTTGTTTTTTTTTGTGAGGAAGATCAGCCCTGAGCTAACATCCAATGCCAATCCTCCTCTTTTTGCTGAGGAAGACTGGCCCTGGGCTAACATCCATGCCCATCTTCCTCTACTTTATACAGGATGCAGCCTCAGCATGGCTTGATAAGCGGTGCGTCGGTGCATGTCTGGGATCCGAACCTGCGAACCCCGGGCCACTGAAGCAGATCACAGCGCACTTAACCACTGCGCCACCAGGCCTTTATAACACCTCAAGGACTCTGGATCCCAAGTTCAAGATGCTGAGTTGCTTACCCGGGTACTTTTCCAGTTCCTGAAGTGTGGACTCATTGATATCTGTGGCTATGACTTTGGCACCTTCTCTTGCAAAAGCCTGGTAGACACAACGCACAAATAAACCCTTTGTTGACTTGGTTAAGCTGCTCTCACGAATAGAAAGTCATTTAGCCTTTTCTTTCTATATCTTATTTTCACTGCTGTTTTTCTTATAAAATGGGTGGAATTTCAAACTATCTAGTCTCACTCACCCTTCCGTTATTATTTTTATCATTAATTAGAACAACGTGACATACATGGCGCTTCTCATCTGACTTTGTCCCTTTAAGTAATATCAAATAAAATAGTTTTTTTAAAAAACTAGGATTCTGTTATTAACATCTCTCAAAATACTACTATGCTGTGATTTGATAGCCCGTATTCCATTTATGAGCAGGTGATTAAACTCCAAATAATGAGAAAAATGGGTTATTTCAACACTTTTCCTCCTAAGAGTACACTAGTGTTTTCATAAATGTCAAACCATATCCTACTGTTATATTTAAGGTGTATTATTAGCTCAGGTGAGGAATACAATGTGCAAGAAGTTGTTATAAATTAGAAGGTAAAGGTAATCTGACAGTGTTATCACTCTGGAGTTCTGAACTGACATGATTTCAGACAGCTATGCACTGCTGTAGGGCCCCTGCAGTAAATTTATTATGGTGAAGAGAAACTGAGGCACAGAACTAAGTTTCGCAGAGTCAAAAGTTATGAGATCATAGGGCCCGGCCCGGTGGTGCAAGCAGTTAAGTGCTGCGCTCCGCTGCAGTGGCCTGGGGTTTGCCGGTTCGGATTCCGGGAGCGCACCTACACACCACTTGTTAAGCCATGCTGTGGCTGCGTCCCATATAAAGTAGAGGAAGATGGGCACGGATGTTAGCCCAGGGCCAGTCTTCCTCAGCAAAAAAAGAGGAGGATTGGCATTGGATGTTAGCTC